AGAGGATACTCGGGTAGCCCAGCCTGTCTGCAGGACCCTCTGGAAGCCAGTGCCTTCTAGACAGAGCCAGCTGCCAGGCAAGAATTGCTACAATTCCTTTCATAGTAACTAAAACCCCTGGAGGAGAGGCTGAGAATCCCCATTTTTTTAAATTAAAAACTGTTTTCTAATAAAAGGTAAGACATGGTAACTTCTGAAAGGTCTGACAGGCTGCCGGGTATCTGCATGAGATCCAACCGTGTCATTTTCCTAGGGGTGTTCCTAATTATGACCACTCACCTCTGTGACAGAAACTCATTCTTTCTGGATTTCAAACACCTCCATCCCTCCTCCCTCCAGCTTGGCCTTCGAACTCTTAATAAAACATGAAAACCCTCGGCCCCAGGTCCCCTGCCTGCATCCCATCCTCTGGCTCCCCTGCAGCCTGCCTGCATTTCTCATCTCCATGTTGCCGCTGCTCCATCCATTTGCGTGGGGAGGAGTCAGCGCAGACGCCTAGTCCTCAAGAGCTCACTGTGATATGAGGGTGTTCAAAGTCGGCAGAGCGAGGGTCCCTTTCACCACATGAAGCCACTGTGCTTGCCTTTTACACTTGAAAGATCAGAGGGTACTCTCTGAATCCTGGGCATGGCGTTGGAAAAGTGTTTCTGTAAGAAAAACTCATTCTCTTTGGAGACCAGCCTTCATTAGCGACACATGGTTGACTCTCTTGGAGGAGGGGTAGTGAACAGAACAGCAACTCTCTTCTGTCCAGCGTGGCACTGGGTTGTACAGAAGATGGTGCTTGATCTCCATACCAAGTTAGCAAGTATACAACGCTTATGACAGCCAAGCACAGAGTAGTCACTCAATGAAATTAGCTGCAGTGGAGCAGGGGAATAGCTCAGTTGGTACTTGCCCTGCAAGCCTGAGGACCTGAGTTCAAATCCCTAGCACCCATGTCAAAAGCTGAGTTCAGTAGTATGGGTTTGTAAGCCCAGTGAGGTAGAGACAGGATTCCTGGGGCTTACTAACCCAATCTAGCCAACAGGCGAGCCCTGGTTTAGTGAGAGACTCTGTCTCAAAAAGTAAGGTGGACAGTGATTGAGGAAGATTCCTGGTGTCCACCTCTGGCCTCCACATGCACTTGCATACACGTGCACGTGTAGTAGTGCATGCACACGTGTGTGCACACATTGTATGCACATACATGCATGTGCACGTACACAGATACACTACCTGTAGGGAGTATAGCACCATGAGGCAGATGCTACCATCATAACACCCATTGCACAGATGAAGAAACTGAGGGAGGACAGTTCCAAGTCTCCCCAGGTATAAGAACACTGGTATCTGGCTGATTCATCTTGCAAGGCAGGGCATGGCAGAAGCAGGATGCATTCAGTCCCAACCTTGACTATGCCCCATGGCCCCCAAAGCCTCCACAAATAGACACTGATTTTCCCAAACTGTCTGTCATTGTGCTCAGTTGTTCTTACCTACATTCCTCCTTTTTCTAACCAAAAAAAAATCTGGAAAATAGGATCTATCTGCTGCCCAGAAAGGATGTCACGATCTCCCTGTTGTGATGTGGAACATGAGGCAGCACAGCTGGGTGTCATGGTAGGGTGGCAGGGGGAGCCCAGCTCTGGGGGTGGCCTAGCATAGCTAGCTCATTTCTGTCGTGCATGGAGGGCAGAGGAAGGTGAGCTGCACTGCCCCTTGGGAGGCCCCAGCCATTCCCCAAGCCCATCTGGGATGCACCTTTCCACTCTGTATGAATTCATTTCTGCCATTTTCTGCCATCTTGCACCACTGCAAAAAAAGAGACAGCAACCCAGAGCCCAGGCAGGGATGCCTCTTCCTCACACTCCTTCATGTCTGTCCATGGCACTTGTGTCCCTGCCTGAGAGACCTGTCTGAATTCATTGCCTCCAACTAGACTCTTCCAGTACTCAGGCCTGCCTACCCGGAGGTTGCCGCGTCCACCTAGAGGGTCTTCCAGAAGACTTGTCCTTCCTATCCTAACACATTTCCTGCCCTTTCATGTGTCCATCTCCTGCTTCCATGAATGTCACTCAGTTCCCTCTGACTCAAACCTACTGGTTCCACCTCAGAAGTCCTCCCCATTTACCGGCCCCATCTCCAGCTCTACCCTTTGCCATATGACCTACTCTGAAGAGCAAGGGCCCAGCAACACTGCTGTAAGAATGGAATAGCTTCATGCACTTGTGGCCTTGGGAGCCTCCATGTCAGCCACAAGGATGAGGGGACACCCAGCAGGAAGCACCTTCTCACAGCTCTGGGACCTTGGGCCAGACACCTGTGCTTCTTGTTCCTGTGTTACAGCAGGAGGACAAGAATCTTAACATGGTTAAGAAGTTTATCAGAGATGCCAGGGAGATGGTTCAGCAGGTAAATGCACCGATTGCTTTTGCAGGGGACTCTGGTTCGGTTCCCAGCAACCCCATGACAGCTCATAGCTGTCTGTAACTCCAGTTCCAGGGAATACAATGCCCCCTTCTGGCCTCCGTGGGCATTGCATGCATGGTGCATTTATATACATGTAGGTAAAACACTCATCATACACATTAAAAAACAAACAAAAACATTGTGGTGGCGCACGCCTGTAGTCCAGCACTTGGGGGGCAGAAGCAGGCGGATCTCTGTGAGTTCAAGGCCAGCCTGGTCTACATAGTGAGTTCCAGGGCAGCTCGAGTTACAGGGAGACCCTGTTTCAAAAAGAAAAAAAAAAAATTTTTTTTTTTAAACTTTTTTTTAAAAAAGAAGTTTGTCAGAGGGTCGACATAAACCAAGTGCTTGGCTGCCTCCCACTCATCATCTGCTGGATGGTCATTTTCTGTGCTGGCACTCCTGCCCTGTCAGATTTCTTGATTCCCTTTTACTTGTGTGACCCTGGGAATTAACTGAGCCTTTATGTATCAAGGAAGGTCTTCCTATGTAAATGGACTGCCAAGAGTAGGTACCTGGACAGGCTGTGACAACTGTGTGAGGGAAAGCTGGAGAAACCCTTACATTAGGTTGGGCTGTAGCCATTCTTTCAGTGTCTCTTACTGCCTGGACAGCCTCTCACTTGGTGCTGGGCATATGTGGGTACTAGCTGGGCCCTATCTATCCATCTTCCCTCAGGGAGTTTTCTTTTCCCTGTTCACAATTCTGCCAGTCTTCTAGGTGACGGCAACTTCACTGTGTCCTGAGGTCACACGTGCTGGGTCTCCCAGTCCCACTAGGGACCCTGCCTTAGGACATCTTCCTGAGTCTTGGAATCAGTTGTGAGCTGCCTCACAACTGAATCAGTCTGTGGCCTCAGGAAGCCATGGCTCTCAGCCTCAAGTGTGAGCAGCTGCAGGCTGGTGAGGAAGCCATCTGAGTGGGATCTACATGACCTTTATAGCCATCTTCACTGGGCAGCTTCTAACTATGACATTACCTTTCAGATCCCTGCCAGAGCAAGATGCTGTGTTTCTGGAGTAAAGCCTGAGTGTGATGCCTTAGTCTCCAAATGAGGTGACAACAGTTCTTTTGCAAGACCTTCAGGGAGCAAAGGGGTCCAAAGATTAGCAGCGTGCATGTGTTAGTGGGTACCTGTGTGCATACATGTGTATGCATGCATGCATGTGTTTGCAGGTGCATATGCATATGAATGTGTGCATGTATGTCAGCTTTGTAACTTTCAAGTCTTGATTTTTTTTTTTTCTTAAAATCTGCTATCTCTTCAAGACAGAGTGACAGAGAGACAAAGGCAGTGAGAGGCAGGGATAGAGACAGAGTCAAGTAAAGACAAGACAGAGACAGGCAGGTAGAGACACAGAGACAAAAACAGAGAGAGAGAGAGAGAGAGAAGCAAACTTGTTAGGAGCCTTTGATTGCTTTTCACCAGCTGCAGGGAGTAACCTCTGTCCCTGGGGGGTGGGGTGGGGTGGAGCTACTAGAAACCCATTCACAACTGAACAACAAAGGCTGTATCCCTGTTCTTGGCTTTGCCTTTCCTTGGGACTGGCTTTCAAAGCCTACACACCTGACTCCTGCAGCTCAGAGGCAGAAGAGCCTGAGGCCTGGCCAGCTGGGTGCTCCAGGGTGTGAGATACAAAGTCACACACACACACACACACACACACACACACACACACACACAGTGTCTGTTTGGTCACCACCTAGGGATGTGGGCAGCAACAGTCAACACAGGTTTTAAACGTACTGATGGCTCAGCTGCCTGGCATTCTGATTTCTAAAACTTATCTCAAAACTGTCCTGTCCACTTGTCCTGCCTGCAACAGGGACTCATGACCCTGGGAAGCTGCCTCAATGGCTTGGTGGTGCTAGAGAGGAACCTGCTTCAGAAGGCCACTGTCAACTTGGGGCTTGTTTCAGAAGGTCAAAATACTGAGCTGGGCAGGGCAAGCCCTGGGGACAGTTAAGTTGGTCTACATGTCCCCACACCGCAGGGCTGGACTGTACCATTGGCTCCTTCTGGCTAGAATGTGGGTTTAGCTTTGCCTCAGCCTGGTAAATTCTGGGCTTGTGCTAGATCCTGCAGCTGCGCTGGTGATGAACATGAAAGATGCAACCCACTTCTGAGCTTTTTGTGCTGGCCTCTCCTTGGTGCCATTTCATCCCACCCAGTTGTGTTCTGCTTTAAGACTCCCTCCACAGCCCAGAGCTGCAGTAGAGTAGCTCATTCAGACTGGGACGCGCAGTCGGGTTGAATTCTATTCATTGGTTCTGTGCTGCAGGATCCTGGGTACACACAGGCTGGCAGTCAAGGCTTCTCTAGGCCATGTGTCTTCCAAGAAGGCCTGCTGTCCAGCTCCCAAGCCTACCAGGAGCCACCACCAACTTTACCCACTGCCTTCACATACACCTCTGAAACTCAACACTGATATTTTTACTCTACTAGCCTTGAGACTTGCCTGTAACTCAGAGGCATAACCAGCAATGTACAGCCAGCCAGCAGCACACACCCAGAAGGTATCCCCTCACAATGTACATCGACTGGCAGCAAACTAAAGAATGTCTTTTATTTTTAATAAAATAGTGGAGCATGAAAAATATCATATATTACAGATATACAGAGGCAGGCATCGCCCTCCCTGGCTGGTAGAGACCACTGGTGACAAAGTTTGTCTTCCCAAGGGCTTCTTGATCTATTCACGAAACAATTTGTTTAACAATTGAGAGTCAATAAGCCCTATGGGTGCTCTCCAATGGCTCTTCCCCTCCTCTCCACAAACCAGTTCCAATGCAGTAGAGCACTCTGGCTTGGTTTCCACTAAAAAGCCACAAAATGTAACAGGCTTAAAGGGTTTCCGAGGCCCAGGCCTCCTAGTTCTTTTGTTAGAAGAGTTCTTTTGTTGTCTTTTATGTACAGCAAAATACTTGTCTTTTTATTTTCATGGAAAGAAAAAAAAATGTATTGCACATCATTTGGGTTCTCCAGTGTTGGGTTGGGGGAAGGATTCTATCTTGGAAAGAGATGGCTGTGAAGGCTGGGGGTGGGACACTCTTTAAGGGACCCTAAGGCCCTGAAGTGTATAGATAGCACAGGCTCCCTTCTTTCAACCCTGCCACGTACAGTAGCCTTGCTGGGGGGGGGGGGCGATGGACAGACAATGACTGGCCCCTGGGTGGCTCATCTGCTAGCACAAGGGAGGCCCTTTAACTTGCAAAGGCGTTATCTGGCCTCAAATTTCTAAACAGGCAGCAAAGCCTACGAAATGAACAGATGTATGTTTGAGACTTAAACAAAAGTTTTCTTCCCAGGAGGGCTGAGTCCACTACTTTACCACAAATGAATTAAACAAGAGGGTCCTTCTATGAGGAATGCCCCTTCACAGAAGTACCAACACAACAGAACCCTTTACTTTTGGTGTATCGTGTCATCCTGAACTTCAAGCTAGAATACATATATATATATATATAAATTATATATATACCTCCTTTTAACTTTTATTTTAAAAACCAACCAGCCAACCAAGAAATGCAGCCCACTTGGCTCTGCCTGTACTGTCCTTCCACCAAGTCCTCTTCACACACAGGCTGGAGGCTGGGCAGGGAGCTCATACTTCCCAAGGTGAGGTTTTTGGGGGTGCTGTGCTTTTTTGTAGATTCCTGCGCTGGTAACCACACTGACGGGTTTCCTCCTGCTCTTTCTCTTTAGCCCTCGGCTGCACACATGTTGCCAGGACTGCAGGGTTTTGGAGGTCCAGACCCATACCCCGCTGGTGATGCCTACCACCAGGAGCATGGACACTTTGACCATGAAGACCTCCACAGCTGGGATGGAGGTGGCCATCAGGCAGTCAGGCGTCTTGGTCTGGTTGTTCATTTTGCACTTGTGTTGTGCAGCCAGCATCTTCCAGTAATCCATGTTGAGGCGTTCATAGAAGTAGCAGGCAATCACACAGGTGGCTGGTACCGTGTAGAGGAGGGAGAAGACCCCAATCCGCACCATGAGTTTCTCCAGCTTGTCAGTGTTCTCCCCTCCCGTTTTCATAACCCTCCGGATGTGGAACAAAGCCACAAAACCAGAGAGGATGAAGGAAGTGCCGATGACCAGGTAGCAAGCCAGCGGGACCAGCACAAAGCCAGTGAGAGCGTTGACATCCATGCTGCCAACGTAGCATACACCGGTAAGCTCGTCCCCGGCCACCCTGCGCATCACCAGGATCAAGATGGTCTTCACAGCCGGGATGGCCCAGGCTGCCAGGTGAAAGTAGCTGCTATTGGCCTCAATGGCCTCGTGACCCCACTTCTTGCCAGCTGCCAGGAACCAGGTGAGAGTGAGGACCACCCACCACAGAGAGCTGGCCATGCCGAAGTAATAAAGCACCAGGAAGACTAGGGTGCAGCCGGTGCTCTCCAGCCCCTCCTGAATGACGTACAGCTGGCCACTGTCCCTGTCGCAGGCTATGCTCTCCGCGCCTGCGAAGAGGCGGATGATATAGCCCACCGAGTAGACGCAGTAGCACATGGAGAGAAAGATGATGGGCCGCTCTGGGTATCTGAAGCGCGACGGGTCGATGAGGAAGGTGAGCACCGTGAAGGCGCTAGAGAAGAAACACAGCACGGACCAGATGGCTAGCCAGACCACGGCGAAGCGCTTGTCCTCGCGGCTCCAGTACACGTCCACCCCTGGCGTGCAGAGCGGCGCGCACGACGCGCTCTTCTCCACGTGGTGGAACTTGCCCGGGTTGTCGCAGCCTGCGCGCCCGGAACCCCCGTCCTTCAACGGGTACTCCTGCCCGCTGTGGGGCCTTTGGGGCCTGAAGAGAGGCGGGAACATACCTGAGCCCCGGCTGGGCTCGTCCGAACCGTTGTTAGGCGCCTCCATGCACAGGTAGTTGGGGTCATTCTTGTTGGGTAGTTTGCTGCAGTCTAGGGAGTCGGGCCACTTGAAGTTGAACTGCTCCATGATAGGTGAGCACTTGAGCCGGGCTTGCTCGCACATGACCCGGCAGGCGGGGATGGGTGTAGAGACCTGCTCCGTGCACATGGGTGCGTACAGGGAGCAAAGGAAGAAGCGGAGGTGGCCATGGCAGCCATACTCCACGAGCGGTGCGAACTCGTGCAGCTGGATGGCCGCCTCGCGTTGGTTCTCGTGGCCCATCAGGTTGGGCATTCGGGTCGTGTTGTAGCCGATGTCCTTGCACATGGGAATCTGCACCGGCTGACACTTGCCGTCTCCCGGGCGTTCCATGTCCATAGAGCTGATGGCCGCGCAAGAGCCCATCACCTGAAGTACCAGCCACAGGCGGGGACCCGGGGGCCGCATTGTGGAGCCGGTAGTGCCCCCGCGCCGCTCAGAGCCGCCGCTCTCGGGCACCGGCTCCTGCTGCCCGCGGCTCCGCGCCCTCGCTCGGGCCCCCGCGCATGCCCGCCCAGCCTGGCCAGAGCGCTGCTCTCAGCGCCCCGGCCCCGCAGTGGGCGCGCCGCCTTCACCGAGTCGGGGGCGGCGGGGGAGGGGAGCAAAGTTTGCAAACAATACCGCGTTGGAGCGCGGCCGCCACAGCTCACGACGCAAACTTTGGCCTCTTCTCCCGGCGCGCGTCCGGGGACCGAGGTGGGGCAGAGAAGACGCCCTCGGTGGCCCCGGCGCCCCGCGGCTCCTCCTTCCAGGCGCCCGCCTCGCCGGCCCCGCCAGCAGCTGTTCCCAGCTTGGAGTCCCGGGATGAGAAGACTTGCAAAAAGGCAAAGTGGGGGGAGAAAAAAGCCGATCCATGACAGGCCCCGCCTCCGGCCCCCGCCCCGCCCCGCCGCTGCTTTGCATCAGAAAGACCAGCGCCCCGGGCAGCCTCAGCCTGCTGCCCCAGCCCAGAACCCGACCCCAGCCCGCCGCCTCCAGCCTCTCCCGCCCGCCTCTCCGCCAGCGCGCTCCTTCCCCTGTGGGGGGCCGGTGATTGTCCCTGGCACCCCAAGGATGCCGAGGCTACGGAAGTTTGTGGACTGGCGGGGACGCGGGTGGGGGTGCTCCTCGCCCTGGGCTGGGGGCTGGGGACGCATCTCCTACTTTTATGATGGGTCCCTGGCGGAGGGCGCTTTCAAAGAGACTTGGGATTTGCGTTTTATGGCCGTGCTCATAAAGTGGCCCCTCGGCTTGTAAAGCTGCCCGCATCTTCGCGAGGCCGGGGGTTAGCAGCCCCCGGCGCGGGGCTTGGGCTCCAGGGAGGGGCTGCCTTTGAAATTTCAAAAGAACCTTGCGCAGGGGAGGGGGAGGGGACTGGGAAGCCGGAGTTTAGGGCCACTCCTGCGAGATCTCCTCAAAGGAACAGGGGAGGGGTCGCGGGTCGGCTTTCCGGGCCTTTGACACCCTGCACCCCGGGAAGAGGGGCCCGGCTTGGGTCGTAGTGACCCCACCGCGGCTCACCAAGTCGTGGGCCATCGCGCCAGGCGGGCTGGTGGTTTCTCCAGACGGCCGAGTTTATTTATTATAGGAAGTCGGGTATTTATGTTACTTGGCAAGAGATGTACCCGTCCTGTACCCTCCTGGGAGGCTTGAGGCTGGGTCTGGGCCGTGGGAGAGGGCGGCGTCAACACAGCCTCCGGCGGACGCGCGCGCACGGAGGCGGACGCGCGCGCCCTGGTTCCCACGGAGAGTTGGGGTGGCGGTAACCCTTCACCTCCCGCTGCTGGCTCTTCCCCTAGGGTTTGGGCCAGTATGTGATTAGGTCACTCAGGACACAACTCCCCCACCTCCTTACCTGGCACAGAGAGTTCACCGTGGATGCCCACCCCAAATGCCTGGGTGTCACCTGTCGCGGCCTCTAACCTTAGATAAACAGCCCCCTGGACGGTGGCCCACTCTCCACAGACACCCTCTAGGTCGGACCTTTGAAGTGTTTGGGAAACTCCCAGAACCTCCCGTGCCGCCTCTCCCACCTGCACAGGGGAAGTTGGGCCTCCAGCTCATCTTCCAGAAGGTCCTGCTCAGACCAGACGTTTGCGGTACGCAGGCGCCTGGAAGCCCACAGTGGCCAGCTGTCTCCAGCAAGCCTCCAGGAAAGAGCAAGGCTGCCCCGAGCCCTCCTTCCCGCCCAGCCCTTTGTAAGCAGCAGCAGAACTCTGCGCTTCCTCCGAAAGGATCAGCTTCTAATTAAAACAAGGCCTCAGCTTTCCATCTGCAGGAAACCCAGGGAGTTAACCTACCTTCTGTCCATCATTCATTCGTCAGACATTCGCAGGCAGACCTGAGACTGAGACTTGCCTAGGACCCTAGAATCCATGGGCAGGTTCTTGAGGCATCTCTGGAAGCCTGGCTCCCTAGCCTTTCATAGAAGGCGCTAGGAGGGAGTTGGGTTCAGAGAGCCAGTGGTCAGACTGAGGCGAATACAATCCGAAGTGCTGCCTAACATCGTGATAATTATCCCAGAAAAATCTCATGTGTGTTAAGAGCCTGCTGTTTGTATGATGATAGTTTGCTTGGATATTTTTAGTTTAGCAAATTTTTTTCAAAACCTTTCAGTTAGCAAAGATTCCTGAGAGGGACATCACTTTGCTCTAAGACAGGCTTGCCTGCAAATGTCCCTCCTGCCACCCACCAGGCTGGAAGAAGTTATAGCTGGCTCAGCTCTGGAGCAGGGTGCAAGCTATTTGGGAAATCGTTCCTAATTGATCTTTTTATGTGCTGGTTTAATTCTGCCATGTTCAGATCTATTACTTTGGCCATGGTCACTTCACATTACTTCTCTCCTCTAAAAATTTTTTAGTTTATATGTATGTTTGTGCCTGTGTGAGCCTGAGGAGGCCAAAGGGCATCAGGTTAACTTAACTAGAGTTACAGGCTGTTGTGAGCCACCTATGTAGGTACTGGGAACTGAGCCCAGGTCCTCTGCAAGAGCAGTATGTGCTCCTCCAGGCCTTCTCCATGGTCACTTCACATTACTTCTCTCCTCTAAAAATTTTTTAGTTTATATGTATGTTTGTGCCTGTGTGAGCCTGAGGAGGCCAAAGGGCATCAGGTTAACTTAACTAGAGTTACAGGCTGTTGTGAGCCACCTATGTAGGTACTGGGAACTGAGCCCAGGTCCTCTGCAAGAGCAGTATGTGCTCCTCCAGGCCTTCTCCATATATATATATATATAGACAAGAGGAAAAGCCACAAATACACATTAGTATCTAAAAATGAGGTCCTGAGAAATCAGGAGTGGAAGATAACTCTGTAACTAATAAATGAAAGGCCCTTTTGATGACTCCAGCTGAATAGATATTTTATTTTATTTTATTTTTTTCTTTCCTGTGTGTGGGATTTGAGATGTGTGATTCTGGAGCAGCCGGGTCCCCTGCTGCTCAGCCCTGGCTCAAAACCGGCCCCCCTCTGGCAAACGTTATGGAGAATTGGGAGGAATTTTATGGCTGTCTCTCTCCCCTCAGCTCTTTTTTCTTTTGTCTTCTTTGAAGAATGACTTTAGACATTTTATTTACATATTTAACCATGGATGAAAGAGGGAAGAGAAAGCGTTGGGGGCTGTCCTGGGAATAGTGCTATGTTTAAATTAATGGAAATCTTATTAGGCTTCTAAAATTTTGAGCAAGGATTTTTAATGACACTTTAAAATTAAACATGATTTCAAATAATGTCCAAGAGTAAGGGATATTTTTGCCTGCAAATCACCCAATATATATATGTATATATTATAAATATATAATCTTAGAATGCTAGCTTTAAACATTAGCTTTTAAGTTCTTACAAAAAATGATCAGCAAGGAAAGTGTAAGGTTTTCAAGAAGAAATAGTACAAGATCGTGGTAGAAATAGTCCAAGTCGGGTAGTACCTTGAACAAGAGCTAAACATTTTTGGAGGTGGTAGAGTTGAAAGGTAGTCCCTATTTCCTTCCCTTTAAAGTGGCAAAGTCAGAAGTAAAACAGAGCTTTGACATTTGGATCTCACTAGCAATCAAAGTTGTATCTTTCCTTATTATGTCGTAAGCAGAGGAAGTTTTCTGCAATGGGATTAGAGAAAACCCAAATAATCTAAGATTAAAAATAAAAAGTACTGAACCTCTTACAATAAAGAGAAATTAAACCGTAAGCTTAGCCTGTTACAAGCTAATTGCAAGAGTAACCATGTGGGCTATGAGCAGAGGTTATAAAAAGACATGAAATCCTGTGGCTAAGCTTCAAGATGAAACAGGGTTCTGGCTTCTGAAGGCTTTCTCAGTAGCTTTCACTTGACAGGCTTTCCTGGAATCTTCCTGTTTGGAGATCCAGCTGGAAAACTGCAGTTTATGTTTATATTTAGGGAAGGTCTTTTCCAACTCTTCCTTAAAGTAGGAATGTGCCTTCTAAGAAGTTTCCCCAGAAACTTGTTAGACATAAAAAGTGCGTGAAAAACTCAGTTTTCCAACCAAGTGGGCTTGGCCCCACCGTTTCACTCCCATTATATTTTCCTCCTTTAAGTCATCTGAAGTGATACTCAGTGAAACACACACACACATACACACACACACACACACACACACACACACACACACACACACACTGGTACATGTATACAGGCTTACATGCACGCACATACACGCACTCTTTGTACCAAAAAGCAGTGCAGGTTACCCTAAACTTAAGAACACAGGTTTTAATTACATCTCAGAACACTAGTTGTAAGATGCTGGGGGGTGGAGGGGGCGGCGGTGAGGAGCAAACAGAAAAGCCTTAGGCGTCACGAAATGTGTGGAGGAGCGTCCTGGACTGCTGCAGAACAATTTAGGCCGCTATTTTAAGGCCACTTCCCTTGAAATGTGGATTGAAATATTACCAGAGGTTCCGCGGGGCGCTTTCGTGTGAATTGCAAATCAAGCCTCGCTTTAATCCTCTTTCAAGGCCCGGCCTTGGATCGCTGGCGTCGCCAGGCTCCCCACTGCTTCTGGCGCAGAAGGGACCATTCAAGGGGGCAGCTCCCCTCCTCTATTCCCACACTCCAAAAAACAACACTGCAGACAGACACCCTCCAACTAAATTAGATTAAACTCCTTCTCTTCCATAGCGCATTAGCCTTTTTACAGCCAAGCTCCACTGATCGCTCCTCCCCATTTAAAGACACAGCGCGGCTTTTCCAGTTTAGCCACTGCCACACAAACAGGACGAAAAAAAAAAAAAAAAAGTTGTCTAGGCTAAGTGACTTCAGATCGCAAGGATGCCATCCTGTTTAAAACACAGGCGGACCCACGCAAGCCTGGCTGAGTTTCACAGGGCGGGGCTGGACCTGATGAGAAGCGCTTATACTCTAGCTCAGCCTGGTGTGCAAAAAGAAATTTAAAAATTACCCCTACAAAACGAAGCAAGCAAATGTATGATTCTGTTTTGCATTAATATCCCAGAGGCTACTAGAGGACAATTTGCTGGAATTAATGCTCCTCACACACGTTGGACTCAGGCTTCTGGCTCCTGGCTTGCTTGGATCCTCAGCCCCTCCTGAGCTGCTGGAGTGGTGCACTGAGCTCCATTCCAGTCCCACCTGTTTCTTTCTGTTTCACTCCTGGCCTCCAGGACTCCTTCCTTGCCTGTGCTGAGGCCCTGGGTTACTCTAGCCAGGGAGCTGGTCCACCCCAGGCCTCTGTCTTGCATGGGTGAAGGACACCAGCGTGACACAGGGACAAAATCTGGACAACGTTAAGCCAGGCTCTGGCTGCTGTTGCTGAGTCTGAAGTCCTTCCACCACTCTGTAAGACC